ATTTTATGTATTATTTATCCTTCACTGCCAATTTCAACACTTTCAATCACCTCGTCTTTACAAACTTGAAGATGTTTAACTTTGGGTTTCTACTGTCCTCTTAGCATTCACTTTATAAACACCAATAGTTATGTCAGTTTTGAAGAACTATAAGTTGGGATGAAGGAGTAAGCAGTTACCTTGGTGTGTATCTGCAATAGGTGTGTTTGATTTTGGTGTTGTGTTTTCTATTAAAATTGAACAGGTTTGAATGCTGTCTTTTAGCTCTGCCTCTGAACTCTCCAGCTTTTCTGGCAGTGTGATTACCCTTTGTGGTGCATATTTACTGCTGCTGTGTTGGGACTATGGAAATCTTCTCTATTATGTGTAGTCCATAGCTCAGGAGAGCAGCACTGGTCTGACTTTAGATATTTTTACAGCCAACTAAGGAAAATTGAAACAGTTGTGTGGGAGTCTGTTGAACAGAAATGAATCAAAAATAGTTTGAATGGAGATTCTCAAAGAGATCTTTGAGGATTAAATCTGATTAAATCTGGTTTTAAACCAAAACAGTTAAAACATCAGAATTTGTTAGACTAGACTAAAAACTGAAAAGTTTTTCTTTGTTTTAAGATGAATTGCAGGTTTTTGTATGAAGTATATATGTGTATATGGTATTTCTCAGTCTTCCTGGACTTGAAAGTGAAGTTGTGTGCTGCTGAGAAATTTGACATAGAAGACTTCTAAGAAAAAAAACAGTTGTAGGTTTCAGCTGACTTTACACTTTGTATACAAATGTGTGTAAAATGCTTGTTTTATTTCTCTTTTATAGCAGTGGTGTTTGTTGTTGATAGCAGTCACAGAGACAGGGTCAGTGAAGCACACAGTGAACTTGCAAAATTATTAACAGAGAAGGAATTACGGGATGCCTTGCTCTTGATCTTTGCTAATAAACAGGTACTTGTGATTTTTTTTTTTTCACTCTTCAATTTATGAAATTCAAACTTTCTGAATCCTCTTCTGTACGAAGGGAATAGTTATGTGAAAGGAATAAAATGTACATATTCTCCTTATGTTTAATTTTAGGAAATAAATGATACTAACGTACTTACTAGATTCAGTAGTCAGTTTTTGTTTTATCATAATCTATAGTAAACTTGTAGCTGTCTGACTTTTGTGTTTGGAAAGCTTTCGTGTGATCCATAACCTCAGTCTAAGCCATCAGTTAAAAATCATTCAAACACAGTTCAGAAGAGTAATTGAGTCTGTCTGATTGTGTTGTAGGATGTAGCAGGTGCGCTTTCAGTGGAAGAAATTACAGAACTGTTGAGTCTCCACAAACTCTGCTGTGGCCGTAACTGGTATATCCAGGGCTGTGATGCTCGAAGTGGTACAGGACTTTTCGAAGGACTAGACTGGCTTTCAAGGCAGTTAGTGGCTGCTGGTGTCCTGGATGTGGCTTAATTTCAGAACAGATAAGTTTATAGTTCACTATTTTGTTGTGTTTGCATGATTTAGGATTTTGTAACAAAGTGTGTTGTCTGAAGAGGAGACTTCCTTTAAGTGAGTGGTTACAGAAAAATTTAAGACTTCATGCAAGTTTGGATAATTGTTTCAGTAAGCTTCTGCAGTTAGTCCTTTTGAAACTTCATATGTGTACAAGTAGTGAAATTGGCTAGTTACATGAGTGCCTTGAAATTATTTTTGGTGGAATTAGCTTGTGAAAATTTTAAATTCTAATGAAATATGTTAGAATTTATCTAGTATTCATAACAACATTACGGTAGTTGATGTCAGAAACATTTTGAGTGGTTCAGAAATGCTTTCCCAAGAAACTATTCCAAAATTCATAGCAAACTATTAGAATAGCCTGCTCTGACTGTAAGCCTGAAACAGGTGATGCTTCTCTTACATCTAAGAAAGGCATTCATCTAAGGCTTGTGTTGAAAATTACGTGCAGGTACATTGCTAATGGTAAATGTGTCCTGCACTATTTATTAGCTTCCCTGTTGCTGACTGTAAGGAAGCATAACAGGGAAAGAAAATTGAGAATGGGGAACAGTGTTGTAGTATTATGCAGCTAGATGGCATTGTTTAGCTGGCTGTTTCCAAGGGGATTTTTTTTAGTGCTTTTTTATAAGTGTACACATGCTAAATTATTTATGGTTAGAATATAGTGATGTTAAGTTGAAAATGTATTGTGAATGCTTGAGGATATAATCTGCCTTCATAGATTAATTTTACTTCTTGAGAAGACAAAGTTTAGAAAAAAAAACAAACCACAAAACTCACACCTTTTTAAAGAAGTAGTGTGGTGTAATACAGTCCATCTGTGTACTCTGATGTAGAAGTCAAGCCTCTGGATTAAGGTAGTGGCCTTTTCTTGTTGGTTTCACCACGTTTTCTGTGATGAAAAAAGCGTTCACTAATTACAACCTTTACAAGATCAAATGACAAAATATGATGTGAACATTCTGCGTTTAGATTAATAGTTACTCCATGTTTCACATTCAGCTGTTAATAGTGTCTTCGTTTTCAAAGGTCAGTCATTCATAAGCTCATTAAATGCAGGTGTAACACGTTAAATGTAGAAGAGATTATGATCACTCAGTGGCGTCTTCCTTTTCTGCTACACATGCAAATCAGATAATTTTTTATTTTTACTGATATCCATGGAAAATCTCCTGGCCTCCTCTTCTAGTACGCAGTAGTTGCCAATTGAAGAAACCATGCCAGTGACTCTCTTCATATCAGTAAAAGAGGTAGAAAGAACATAGCCAATAGATCAAAAGTGGATAGTGTCATTTTTCTTGCTGCAGTAGGGGTGAGGAACCAGACGGTGGAGGTGATCAGCATTGTTTTACAGATAGGTAGATGGAATTTTCTGTTACAGTGAAAAAACATGCTGACCTGTGAACCTCACCCAGTACAGAAAATTTATTTCACAATCTATTATTATGGTTTTCTTTATATTATTAGCTGCTTAATGATCTTTTCCCACTACTTACCTTAGGTAAAGCCAAGAATGTGTATATTATATTTGCACTTTTATTAGAGAGGAAGCAGCTAAAGCAGCTACTTCCACATAACAACATTTGTTCTTAGTTTTCTCATTTCTTGTATCTCCTGTAAAAACATTAATTGTAGCTTCAGTTTAAGCAGGTCAAATAACTTGGAATAGTAGCTGAAAGAACGCTAAGCTTTAAAATAGTAGAAATTTGTGAAAAGGGCTTCAGTGCTTGTATAGGTGCTAAGAAAGGGTAATAACTCTTTCTACAGTTAACCTGATAAATCTAGCAGATAATCTAACTAGATAATCTAGCAGTTAATCTGATAAGACTGATAAAAATAGTTTACAATGGGCTGAAGGATGTTTTTCCGGCACCAAACTGAAAATTGCTCCTCCTTTGCAGCCCGTAAGTTATTGCACAGTATGCTGCTGGCTGCTCTTGACTTCAGCATCTGCTCAGCCAGATCTAGTTAGTGCTGACTGTCCCTTTATAGCTCTTTTTTTAAAGTATGGACAAGTTCTGCTAAGTGTGGTAGGTACCTTTTCCTGGAATACAGGGAAGACATCTGTTATTTAGAAAAACTTGAACCTGTAATTATAGTGGGCATATGCCGTTTTTACATTCCCTTTGAACTCTTGAACTACGATTCTAAATTACTTCTTTAAGATGTTCAAAGTGAGTTTGTGAGTTGTGTTCCTGTTTGTTGGTTGTTTTTTTTTTTTTTTTTATTGTAAGAGTGTATTTGAGGGCACAGGAAAAATACTTATACATCTTTTTGAGCACAAAAGATTGCTTGCTTGTGATGTGTGGAATACTACCATAAAGTGTTTTTTAGTGGAATTTATTTAAGATGACTTCAAGTAACTGTGAAGGTACTGCACTTGTCTGTGAACTCTTCAGTGTAAACTGGTGCACTAAGAGGTTTATCTGTATTATAAGTTAATACTATATGTAAACTGCTTCCGTTACAAATTTAAGCTTGTTTCAGCAGTTCTCTAGAACTTGAGTTTTAGTGTACTGACTTGCACAATGGAGGATTTCCTCAGCTAGAACTTACTCAAGCATTACTTTGAGGATTTCTATGAGACTGATTAACTCTTTGCAAGATTTTGACTTATTTGTGAACTTCCGTGAATGCAACATCCAGTGACAATGTTGTGGCTTTCTTTAAAGCATCCTGGCTCAATAACAGTGTGCTTAAGCTAACAGAAAAAATCACAGTTTATCATATCACGTGATGTGGTGATGCTGTATGCTGTCTTCAAACTTATTGTGGATTGTGTGGTATTTGAGGATTGTCTTCTGAGATGGTTTAATTTCTGAACTGTTGGATGTTAAATAATTTTTGCAGTGAAAGGGCTCTTTTAATGGAAATAATTCATGAGCTGCTGCTGCAGTCTGAGTTGCCCAGAAAAAAAAATGTTAATTTTTTTCAATAAAATTATCTAAAACTTTTGAAGATGTAGTTTTCTTTAATAAATTTGTCTTGTCATCTAAAACTAGAGGTGCAGTACATTCAGTATACTGTAAAAACAGGTTGATGTGAGTAACCATGTCAATTAAGTATTTTAGTAAAAGTTTTAATATGTCTGATTTCTGGGGTAAAAGTCAAGCCATCAACAGTGTGCAGGGGCTAAGATAATAAGAAATGAAACATTAAAAGACACAAGAAAACCTGGCAATGCCAGTACTTGTGTAGGATTTAATGCACTGTTACTGCATAATTTGATCACTTGTTCATTTAGTCTGATGGACACACACACAACCATCTTGGAAGATGAGTTAAATTATATATGTCATCCTAGCAAAGCATATTACAGTTTACATTAAAATTTACATTTTTAATGAATGTACGTATTGTTGAAGAGCTTATTACTAGCCTACATCTGATCCCTTCCTCTGGTCACAGATAAAGGTACAGACTCTACTCAGTTCATGAAAAAAGCTATAGAATATAATCTGTAGTGTATTTGCATCTTCAATCTTGCACAGAAAAGACAAACAGTAGGCTTTGTAAGAAAGATGGCAATGTTTTTACTTTAAAAAGACAAATTTACTGAGAAATACAGGCTTAGGGCACTTTAGGTACATGAAAAACAGCAGAACTGATGTTTGCTTTGTCATGGCACTTCCTACATCCAAGAATTATCAAAAAAGCGTTTATTCCTTCTGGGTTCTTTCCCGGGTCCCACGACGACGACTTTCTTCTGTTTAAGCTGGAACCTTCGACACCTGACTTACTTCACTGTGATATTAATGATGCTGATATCCTCATAGGGCTTGTCAGTTTTGGGATTGACTTTAACATTAGAGATTCTCTGAACAACTTCCATTCCTTTGGTCACCCGTCCAAACACGCTGTGTTTGTTGTCTAGCCAAGGCTGTTTGAGGATACAGCAGAAGAAAGAAAAAGCAGATTAAAATAGAAAGCAGCATGTAGATTAGATACCAAATGAGAGTGGCTTAGCGTAAGTGAACATGAATATATATTAAAGACTACTGATCTTACGCTTGTTGTGTAAGTAACTGTAAAACAGCTGTTGAAACTAAGTGACTGTTATCAGTGCAGCTATGCATACTGACTTATCTTTTAAAAACATTCCCGAAGTGCTACAGACATCAAGTTCTAGTAATGCAGCAACATTTCATAGTTTAAAGTTTAAATTCATTTCATTGAAATGCACATTTATTTCATGGTAGTTTCACAATTGAATTTAAATGCTAGTCTAGAATACTACCTAATTCAGAGTCATACAATATGCCCAATTAGCAATATATGCCCAATTGGAACACAGGCAATGATGTGATTTAATGAGCTTGAAAATTCTGGTAGATGGATACTTCTTAAGAAGACACATGACTTTGAGGAACAAAATTTCTCTAAGTACTGTCTTAATGTATTCTTTGCACATTAGATTCACTGCCCAATTCATTTATGTATTGCTGTGAAGTTGTATACAGATCAAAATATTAGCAGGGAAGTTTTCTCATTTGTATACTGGCTTTTCTGTATAGGAATCAGCAAGTTTAAGCAGTTACACTGATACTAATCCAAAAAACTTAGAATGGTGCTAACAATAGCTAGATTTGTGTTGAGTTTAAGCAGCACATTATTCCAAAATATTCTAGTAATGCAAAATTGGAAAACCATCTTGTTTTACTAAGAATTAGATTAGGTTCTTGCTCCACTTTAAATTCAAATGATCATGATCACAGCACTTTCCTATTTCTTAGATAATTGTTTTGATGAAATCTACACACAGTACATCTTTGCGTGCAGCAGTTAGCTGCAAAGTAACAATTAAAGGTTGCTTGAACAGTGTTGTGTTCCTTTTCCCACCAGAGTAGTTACTGCGTTTTTACTATGCAGTTAGCATCTCATGCCTTGAGTTGAACTTTTGATACTACTTACGGTTGGCACTACTGTTATAAAAAACTGGGATCCATTAGTATTTGGTCCTGCATTAGCCATGCTCAGTGTGTATGGTCTGTCGTGTCGTAAAGTTGAATGAAATTCATCTTCAAATTCTCCTCCCCAGATACTTTCACCTCCCATTCCTGTACCTGTGGGGTCACCAGTCTGAATCATGAAACCCTGCACAGAAGTTAGATGTTATTACATCATCATGTGGAATAAATAAGCAAAAATGTTTTACGCTAGGTTCCTGTTTTCTTTTTTTCAAGCTTGCATCATATCTTCCAACAAAACTGAACGTTAAATGTGGTGGGTAAGGAATGAAGGCAATAATTAATTCCTTGAATTGGGAAAAAAAACCTACACAAACAAGACTACTTCACTGTTCCTGCTAGTGAAGGATAGAACCAAACTGTACCTTCTGCAGAGATTTAGGCTGTATTCACTTGTTTCTCACGCAGTTAAAGTAAGAATCTTAAGAGGAGATACCATTCTGACATGAAATAAAATCATAATTCTTGCAAGATTGCTGAACTGATATTTATCTTAATTTTCAGATGTTTTTTCTACCTTTTCAGTTGCAGGACAGCTATTAAGAAATTTTATGTAAAGGTCTTTAGTATCTCAGTATTTTTCAGACCTTTCAGGGCATTGTGAAACTTTTCCAGAAATCCTTCATGCAAAAGCAAATGAAAACGTAAAGGCTGGCCATGAAATTACATTAGATAAACCAACAAAACAAATAAATTTTACAGGTTACCTTGATAATACGGTGAAATATGTGTCCATTGTAGTAGCCATTTCTGCTGTGTACACAGAAGTTTTCCACAGTTTTGGGACACCTGAAATCATGTAATACAAAACAAATATTCAGGGTAGCCTGTGTTTTCTGGCAAGGCCATAAAGATTTCAGGTGAGACTCAGATCCTGTTGTGCTGAGCAATGTTTTAGCATACTGCAACAGGGCTTTCATGAAATAAGATTAAACCAACCTCCCACTTCCTCAAACCAAGAGCTGGAAACAAAATTTGCTAGGAGTACGAAGTTGCACAATTAGATGTGAAGTCAGCAGTGGGGTTAGGAACCAAATGTGTTTTCTCAAAGTCAAGACCACGTGTTCCTTCTCCAGATTTCTATCTATATACTATAGATATATAAAGATGATTCAGGAATGTAAGCTCCATATGGAGACAGTGCTGTGCATTAGAAGTAGAATCTGAAACGGCACTGTTCTAATATTGTGGAGCGATTCTGCAGTCAGTACAGAGCTTGTTCTCCTTTTGTAAAACTGCTGGCACACATTGTTCAGAGCGAGGCTGCACAGGTGGAATATTACTTTTCATTTAACAAAAACAAAACAAAAAAGACTTATACTGTTCTTACTCATCTCTTTAAAGTGTTTTTTTTTCTCCCATTCTTCCAGTAGATGCTACCAGAGTTACAGTTGTTTGTGTAAATCTTCCTCTAGTTTTATGAAATGGATTAGTCACCAGAGTAGACCTACACGTGCAGATCTGAACAGTCATACACATTTTTCCCAGCATACCACATAATGTTCATAGAAACATTCACTTGGATATAAATGATATTCTAAAGCATCTTGTGCAACAGCACTAATAAAATAACAAAAAAGCAGACAAAACACAGTCCCAGTTCCTGCTACACAGTACAAAAGTAGTCATTCACAAATACAGACCACAAGAACTTGGCCAAAGGGCAATCAAAGCCACATCCTCAGTGTTATACTTTATTTTTTTAATCAATTTTATCTTAAAAAGATTTTAGTTTCAAAGTTCAGTCAGAAGAAAATATTAGAAAAGGACAAACGTAACAATAACCAAGGCTGAAAGAATTTTACTTTAAAAAAATGCAAGTAAAGTATTGCAGTGAACTTAATGATATTATGCATGTATTATGCATGCAAATCTACTGGCATGAGAATTTAAAAAAAAAATGGAAATAACATAACTTGACCTACCACTTTTACTGTGTAAAAAACTGTACTATTTCTGCAGCCTGTGTGCTACAGGTAACAATCACAGAAAGTACAGCTTCATGCAAGAAGACATCATTTAATATAGAAATTTAAGACTAGCTTCTCTACAAGGTAAAACTGAGTTTTGTTACCTTATCTGTGCTTGTGACAAAACGTGAATTTGGTTTGAAGAAATGGATTTCTGTGAGTTTATAGCAAACTTGACATGAGAGATAAACTTCTTGTTTCATAACAAAACCTTTGCATGTATTAGTATCATGAAGCAGACACACTGACACAAATACCAAGTAATCATGCATGAAACTCTGTTAATTGTATGCCTAGTTTTGGATTTATGTTGCACTGATGTTAGTATAAATTTTATGTTGCTCTTGAAAGATCTGCAGTACCGTAACATGTGATACATTTGTCACATATTGGAAGTTGCAAACAGCACTATTTCTCTGGCTTACACAGACCCATGATGACATCTGCTGCTGCCACCATCATTCTACTCTTTCAAGATGGAATTACAACAATATGTAGCTTGCACAGGACACCATTACGACCTAGCCACATCTGAGGTTTAGAGAGAGAAAAATACTTAAGAAAGGAATAAGCTTCCTCAGCCAGCAGTTAAAAAAAAGGAAAGAAAAAACAAAATCAGACCCTGACAAACTTGACACCCACTGCTGTTGCTCTGACCTATTTTTCCCCTCCTCTGTTCATCAAGAGTCACATTCTGGTAGCTTGATGTACTAAGAAACCATCCAAAAACAAGGACAATAGAAAACAATGAGGATAAGAACCATTCCTAGCATGAAAGGTAAGGTTTGGGTACTGCCAGAAAAAAAGGGCAAGGAAGGAGAAACAGAGTAACAGAAAAACCACCAAATACATACTCAACAGGAAAAAGCTTAACATGTATATCTCCCATGCTTGTGTGGATAATGGCACTGTCTGAAACTCTTTTGGGACCTTCTGCCTGTGTGGCTGCCATGACCTCTTCTTTAGAAGGTTTCTCATTGAAGACATCTCTGTCTGAATCTGCACTCTTAGTATCTTCTGGTTCACGTTTAGTAAACTGAAGAATAAAAGTAAAGAAGGTAACAGTTTGTATTTTGTTTTTCCTTATCTTACACATAAGTCTGTTCCCAAGACATCAATGTGATGGTTTAACCTCTTAGACACTCAACTAGATTTGAAATGCAAAGGATTCACAGATGGCATTTCAGTGCTGTGCACTATCAGTGTTTCTCTCTAGTCACAAATTTCCGTACAAATATATGCAAGTCCAATAAACTTTCAATGATTTGTTAACTTCTAAATTACTTCCTCATTTTAACATAAAGCCCATAATGGTAGTTCAGCACCTTTCTTTTAGGAAGGAATGAAAGCACTGGTGTATTGAAATTGGCAGACTTCATTACAAAACCTGTGGTTTCACCAAAAAGTGAAACTAAATTCTGATTACTGTATTAATAAAAAACAGCAGAAACAGCAAATTCAACTCAAAGCAGGAAAAACATTTCAGAAATGAAATTTTTAAAGCACTTCTTGAAGAGGCAAGAAATACAGTAAATGTTAGCATTCACAAGAAGCCACAGAAGAAGTACAACTGTGTATCAAATGACAATGACTAGTTTTCCGCATGCATTCACTTGGCATATGGCCATGCACTAACCAGAATGAGCAGTATTTCCACACTGAACATGACTTTTCTTCCTTTCTTGTCAAATTGTTCATAGTATATTCTATTACACACTATATACTAACCACATGAAGGTTCAGGAACCACACTACTTTGCTGCAACTGAAAACATGATCAAATTCAAGCACAAGCAGCAACACACTGACCTGTTACCCCTGCTGTGATCACATCCCAGATCAACTACTAAATCCTCCGGAACTGCTAGGCTGATAAATCACATCTCCTCTAAAATCTACATCTGTGAAGAAGATGACTCCTGTCTCTGTTACCTGTAATCCGCCTGACGCTACTCAGAATTTTCGTGTGTTTTATACATTCAGTTAATTGCTTCTTTGTAGGCAAAATATCTTGTTATGTTTTCGGTGTTCTTATTTAAATTTCTTAAACTAGACTAACTCTAATTCACATAGCTAAAAACATCAAAGTTTCTTTAACTGCTTGAGCAATTCTGAAAACGAAATTAGACTACCACACTGTTTCTAATCAAGTTTTAGACAGTTCAAACAAAATTCTAGAATGCATTTGCAACTTAAAAAGACGCTGCTAGAAATGCTGCATTTTCAAACGTTCAAGACAAAAGGCACTGGAAAGGCACAAGTATAAAATTTAAAAATAACAAAAAAGTTTAATAGAGGAATAGTGTTACTGAAAAGGACATCACACATACCATGTAAAACCTGTTTTTCTTAAAAGCTGTGCAGATTACTGTTGGATCTGCCTGGATGTTCTGGAGAACAGGATTTTCAGATGCCTTCATTTCTATGGTTATTGCAGCACGATGCTTCTTTGCAACTCCTTGGAATAAAGCTAGCTGCATCACCCTAATGTTCTCTTGTTTTCCCAAGATACGAATGCACCTGAAGTACAAGACATAAAGAAATGTAAAGACTGTTGTTTCATGTCTCCTTTCTGACTGCAAGAGACTCAAAGCAAAATTCCAAAGCCTTCCCAAAACAATTTTTAATAATTGTATTTATAATGCTTCTCTACTCAAACTTGCTAATCACTGCTAATCAACTGCTAATCAGCCTCCCTACGCTATAGAAAACAAACTGCATAATCCATGTTTACTTTATCACACTGTTAATTAGAAGTTAATTCATTACTCATTTTTACTATGAATATGTAGTAAAAAGCTTGACAGATTATCTTATTTTGTAAGCTTTGAATTGCAGCAATCCATTAATAAGCAAGGGAATATTTTAAATCAACAGTCTGACTGAAGGCTCTCAAATAACAAAGATTGGTGGTAACCAGTCATGTCAAATTTTAAATGTGAGTGATTAAGCATGGAATTCTAGAGAAATTTATCTGCACACATCTCACTAACACTCACCTGTTAGTTTCTACATTTATGACTTTAATGCCCAACATTGTTCCATAGAGAACGAAGTGTCCAGTTTCATCAAAGATTATATTAATTAATCTTACTGCATCCACTTTCTCCAACTCACGCTCAACTGCCATGCGCCGGCCAAACTCCATGTCTGGTAGTTGCTGTCTCATCTGCTGAAGCTCAGTAAACATCTACAGGAAAATAAACAAATAAATAATCACTGTTACACTTATGCCCTGATCCAGATAAACACCAATCCACAAAATCCTACAAAATACAGAATCCAGGCAAGAATTCAAACCAAGTCAAACTTATCTGAAGAATTAAACACAAGTAATCCTACTCGACCTAATGGCCATGTTGTACTCTGCTGAAGCAAAGAAAAACAAGTACGCAGCTGTCTTAACAAAGTTTTTAAAATATCACAATTTTTTTCATTACTATGTTTATTACTTAAATATTTTTTCTCATTGCTTCCTAATAAAAAGAAATCTAACAGTATGAAAACAGATGAAAACTAACAACTCAGTTTCACTCAATAGCTAACATACACTAGTAAGAATTAATTTTGGGACAAAGCAACACAGCAGCCACGGAAGAGAACAGAGAATACCTTTTATGAAAGAAGACCATAGCAATAAAGCTCAGACTTAGGTAATCATGTAGATGCATGTGTTGATCAAAGTCAAAGAAATAAAGACTCAAAGAGAACCAAGACCAAACTCACACTCAGAGATTCATCAAAGACCCTCATGAGCTTCCCCGTCAAAAATCGGAAAATTCTGACTTTTCTGTCGGACCCAAGAGTGGCCATTTTTTTGCCATCAGGTGAAAAACTTATACTGGATGGGTAAGCCTTGCATTTAGCAAATTCATACAGATCAGTATCTGTTTTATATTCCCAGTTCACATTCTTGGGAAATTTATATTCATGAGGAGTACCAGTCCAATACTCAATCATTCCAGATTTGTCAGAGGACACAACTACTTTGTAGACAGGATTCAACCGTATCTGAGTAAGAGAAGATGTATGGAGTTTATCAAAAACATGGAGTGGTTGATTATTTCCTCGTCCATCATAAATAAATATTTTTCCTGTGGTCTTCTCAGATGTTGCAACAGAAGATATGGCATCTCCAGGACAATATACCCATTCACACTGACCAGGGGAATAGCTGCAAGAAGAAAGAAAGGAAAAAAAAAAAAAGGACTGGTTTTACTGCTAAGAATCAAGCTAATTTGAAATCAAACATCAAGCAAATCTTCAGCTTCATTTACTAGTCTTGGTAATATCCGTCTTGTTAAAAACCAAGCTTTTTCCAAACAAGTCAAGATGGTTCAGCCAATTTCTGTTACTTCCGTATTGCTTCTTAAAGAGGCTGTTCAAGAAAGCGGAAGGTGGATATGAAAGAAGAAAAATGATGGAAAAACAACTAAATAGCACTGAACAGCATTAAAGACTATTAATTTCTGTGATTCAGTAGCACTTTTCTTTCAGCTCTAAGTGATTAATGCTTCAGTGCAAATGAAGATAACCGCACCTTTGGCATATACTTACTGAAAATATAACAAGGTTTTCAGAAAACAAAAGTTAATTATCCAAATATAAATAAAATTATGACAATCACAGTACATTTATACGTAACTGTTCTGACTATATGAGGGCTGCCGTGAAAGTAATGCCTCCTGTTTTATTATGTTGGCATCAGAGGTTGAATCTTCCCACCAATATTCTGTTACATTTTGTGCATCAGATGGCAGCAGAGGGGCAGCTTGACAAAATGACATCTGATGTGGAAGTGCGTATGAAACAAAGGTGTGTCACTGATTTCCTCTAGCAGAAAAAAATGACAACTATTGGCATTCGTTGAATGCCAGTGCTTGCTGAATGATGATGGAGACCAAACAGTGGATATGAGCACAGTGAGGCAGGGTACGTTTCAGGAGTGATGACAGTGATGTGAAAGACAAGCCATGTTCCCAATAACCATGAAGATTTTTATGAGCACAGCGTGCTGGCTCTTGCTCATTGCTGGAGAAAATGCATATTTAATAAGGGTGACCGTGTTGAAAAAGTGTTTAGTAGCTGAGAATTTGCTCTATCAAATAGTGTTATTGTACTACAAGAGTAGTTTCCATGGCAATAAATAGGATACATTACTTTCAGAGCACCCCACGTATTAAAGAAGGAATACATCTGCTAAAACTGAATATACAGTTGGGCTCCTCACTACAGGGAAGACGTTGAGGTCCTGGAGTGTGTCCAGAGAAGTGCAACGAAACTGGTGAGGGGTCTGGAGCACAAGTCTTATGAGGAGCGGCTGAGGGAGCTGGGATTGTTCAGTCTGGAGAAGAGGAGGCTCAGGGGAGACCTCACTGCACTCTACAACTTCCTGAAGGGAGGTTGTGGTGAAGAGGGATTTGGTCTCTTCTCTAAGGCAATGAACAGAACCTGGGGAAATGGCCGCAAGTTGCACCAGAGGAGGTTTAGGTTGGACATGAGGAAAAAGTTTTTCTCTCAGAGAGTGGTCAGGAACTGGAATGGCTGCCCAGGGAGGTGGTGGAGTCGCCATCCCTGGCAGTGTTCAAGAGACATCTGGGTGAGGAGCTGTGAGACATGATTTAGTACTAGTGGTGGCAATGGTGATGAGGAGACAGTTGGACTAGATGATCTTTTAGGTCATTTCCAACCTTGTGATTCTATGATTCTATGATACTCTACAAATAAAACAAACCAGAGATGCGGTCAGTAATTTAAATCACACCTGTTATTTAAAGAAATCTGTAAGCTAAGATACTGAGAACTGGAACGCTAGAACTAAATGTTGGGTAATAAAGAAATGACAGTCTCCATAGGAAACTCATAGTATCTTATCAAACTAAGAGATACTAAAGGCCTGACAGATGCCAGACACTAATCTTTTAGATTAAAAAGAATAATAAAAACTAAAAGTCTTTGAGGAATTATGAATATGATGGCCTATAGCTGTGTCACGTTATCCACACTTTCTGCAGAAATAAAAGTTTTTCTCACCTTGATTAAAGGAAGCACACAGCATTAGAACCTGTAGGCAGCTACACTGTACACATTAGTTAAAAGTGAAAGGATCTTAAGAGCTTCAGAAAAAGCTAATCAACCATACAGCATACTGGCATGTCTCCACCAAAGCAGACAAACAAGCTAATGCAAGCTGAAACGATCACACTCATCAATTCTAAATTAACCATTGCAAACTTGAGTGAACAGCCATTAATAATTTCTCAGGTCAGTAAGCTACCCAATAAGCACTGGCACCGAAGATAATGAAGTGGACATTAAATTAAAAAGGGTGTTCACAACACTGTTTCTACTACAGCTGTATATGTTCCTCTTCTTCATTAAAGAGACCACTTTAGGTCTAACACAATTATGCCTGGAAAAATATAAAGGGAAGGGGAGTTTGACTACTGATGCTGAGAAAAACTATTTAAAAGTATGTCATGAGACATACCATAGGCAGACACTAACAGTATTATTCACAATATCCCTGATGCAAAATGGATTTAAATTCTACCTTAGTTTCCCCTGAATTCTCACAGAGAAAAAAAAAACCTTCTACCGCTACTGAGTTAAAGGTTTTTTTTTAATATTAAGTTCATTTTATTTCACTATGTAGTTTTACTGATGTTGCAGTGACAATACAGGGCTGCTAAGCATAAAACACCAGAAAAATAGAAGGCTAAAACTAACTGGATTTTTTCCACAGCAGACAGCCAACAGGTAATCAATTCCTATGGACTTAGTCACTACTGGGAGGATATTACTAACACTATATCCATAAAGCAGCTAACATAAGCATTTATACGGGCTGTTCTAAAAAGTATCTAGATATCAGTTTGAACAGCGTTCAAAACAGTGGAAGTCTTGGTGTTAATTTCAATTAGAAGAACAACGTCAGTAATGAACATGTTTGAGTTTATACTTTAACTCAGTTTCAAAATTATCTAGTAAATACTAGGCCACATGGAATAAATAGTATCTAATATCCCAAGGCTTGTAGAAACATCAGTACCATTCTTGGTAGAGCATTCGTTGATCCTTCTACTTTCTGACCACAATCTGAAATTAAAACACAGGCTTTGTTTTCCTCTGTTGCTGATATAATTCCAATAATCTCCAGCCCTATCTCTTCCAAGTTCTTTACCTATCTACTGTGTAACAAAAGCAGGATTAAGGAAAACATGCTCTGTTTAGTATTAGAAGAAAATTGCTTGCCTTGAAACAATAAATGATGGCAAATAATATATACGGACCAAGTTTCTTTATTACGGAAACTATTAATTGGTTATAATTTCTAATATTCAGTGCCAAGCAACTGGGGAAAATAGAATAAGAAAAAAAAAAGATGCCTAGCTGAATTACTTAAGAAACAACATATCCTTCTGCCTAACATTTGATAATAAAAAAGTATGCAGTCATACTGCACTCTTATGAAGGATGCATACAGTCATAAACTTTCTATAGTCAGCCAAGTATTTTGCTTAATGCAACGTAATCATCTTAACCTGATCGGAAAATAATCAAGTCAAACAAATTATTTACTTACCTGTTACACAAAATAACCCCTAATCAAAATCCCAAATAAGCATTTTCAAGAACTGAGCAACTTACCCAAGTTTCAGCATGTTGATCATATCAAAGTTGACTACATCAAACACTTTCATCGCTTTGTCATCTCCAACTGAACAGAATAATGCCCCTTCTGAACTAACAGCAATACTCTCAATAACACCTATCAAATAAGTTAACATAGTATCAAGACAAGGAAACGTGTATCTGTCATTTCACTACTCCACAAGAAAAACGCACAGAAAAAAAAAGCACCAAAACCTAAACACATATGGACATACAAAGCTGTCTCAGCTATTTCTCCATCCTGTTTTCAAATTAAAAACTACGTGGAGATGTGAGGGTCCTTTTCCTTTGCTTTTTTTGTTTTGTTTTGTTTTGTTTTGTTTCTGTTCTTTTGTGATATCTTTTTTTAAACACTTTGTATCCTGTAACTGTTCACCATCTGGTCAGAGAGGATGGAGTACTTACTATCTACATAAGTGAAATTTATGACTTTATAATTACTTTAATTTAAAGCTCTAACTGAAAAAAAGAGGGAGAACAAGACTATGGCACAGTCGAAAAAAATAAAAGCACTCATAGACTTGCATTCTCAAGAGAGAAACAGCAACAGAATGCTAACTATTGCAACCCTGCTTTTAACGTTTGTTAGGGATCAAAATGACTGCATTTGAGACTTCAGAATACTTGTTTTCCTTGTTTTTGCTTGGTAGCCTTTGTTCTCACATTTTGTTTCCGTATATAATGAGAAGTTGATGCTTAAAATCAAAAACTCACTATAACATTATAGTTTTACAAAATTTACTATTATTTAATTTTCTTATTGTGAGGCTGCATATCAAGTTGTTTCTTTTCCATTAAGCAGATAATGATTTCTAACAGCAATGAGTACCTGAATGCCTTGCATAGTATAGATGATGAGGGAGGAAGATAACATGGCCTCAAGTAGTATCTTTTTGAACATCCCTGGATTCTGTGCATACTGCTCTTGTTTTTTCTCCCTTTTTTTTTTTTTTTTTAGTAGATATGTTGTATCTCTCCTAGACATTCTCCTTAAAGGCAGGGTACAAGGCAGTAAGTGATGTGCACAGGATTCATACTGCATATTCTGTTCCCACACTATTCCTCCTGCAGTCTTCAAGCAGATTGTGAAAGGACAAGTAGAATTACGCATGATATAATTTAATCCCTCACTGTAATAAATGGATGCTAGAACCTCTCTCCTCTGAGATTGTACCCTCTCTTCAAACGAATGAAAACAAAATAAAACAAAAACACCCACAACTTCTTCTCACCTAAGTGGCTACGGAAGTGTTTAACAAACTCAATCCCTTCTTCTATTTTTTTCCAGAATTTTACATGCCCATCATGACTTGCTGTGATGATAAAATCTGTCCTAGAATTACAAAAGAAGAAATACATAAATACACATACTAAGTACTTTCACAACACTTCTGGATAACAAGTGACATTAAGATGCTATAATTTGTGTTGTTTTGAGAATAGTACTTAGATAAACTACCGTTAACAGTCTGTCTAAATGAATACTATTAATTTTGAGATAGCAAACAAACATTTTAATGCACTCTGGATTAACCTATGAAAGGTCAACAGTCTAAAGTTAAGAAATAAATAATACTTGATAATACCCTCTTGACCATGTAAGTTTTACTACTTTAGCTCTGGTTTCACAGCAGATATTGTTTGCTACTGACTAACTAACTAAATCCCTCTACGTATATATATACATGTACTTAGATAGACAAATAGAAACAGTCATATAGAAGAGAAGAAAGCTCTCTTCTCAATCTGCGCAGTTCTGCTAAATTCATTCGGTTGCAGCTTTCATTTGATTGCAACCAGTATTTTTTATTACTGTAATACTGAACACTGCAGTAAGAATTTTGAGAATCCCTTTTTGTCTGCTTAAATAATAACTTCTATTGTGCTTTTCAGAAAGCACTCTCCTTTACACACAAAAACAGAATCACAGAATATCCCAGGGACCCATAAGGATCATCAATACCAACTTCTGGCTCCACACAGCACCACCCACAAATCAAACCCTATGTCTAAGTGTCCAAACAGTCCTTAAACTCCGTCAGCTCAGGGACATGACAATACCAGACCAGACACCTCTAGATGTAACAGATCTCAATTAGGCTTTTGCAGTGAAAATTTCCTAGTATGAACAAGAATACATATCTGATGACAATAAACAGTAGAGAAAAATAATAAAACCCAGACTTACTTAGTACATGCCACATGTGTAATGACATCTCTGTGCATGTAACTACGTTCATACATCGAAGCACATGGTAGATTTTCAAGATAGACATGTTCAAATTCAAGGACTGAAGAAAATAAAAGGAAAATCAGAAACACTGTTTTCATAAAATGTTCATTAAAAACTCCATAAAGCTATTTTTTGCCATTATTAACTTTGAATAGCTTACTGCTGTTTTTGTAGAGTATAGCAGGGATTTCTGCAAACAGAATAAAAGGGTTTTCCACTGTGGCTTTCCATTTTGACTCAGACTTATTGATTGACAGTATACTGAAACCATTCCATACTCTTAATATCTGTGCAATCACACTTGTTATTAAGTTGGCAAATCTTCCTGGAGACTGTGCAAGGGCACAGAGAAAAGAGAGAGGTGACTGAGAACAGCCAGCACAGCTTCATTAAGGACAAAACTGCCTGACAAATTTAGTGGTTTCTGGCACATGGGTTACAGCATTTTTGAATAAAGGGGAGAGCAACTAGAGCTCAACCGTGTCTTGTACAAAGCATCTGACACTGCCTCACACAGCATCCTTATATCTAAAATGGACTGACATGGATCTAATGGATGGATTACTTGGTTGATAAGGAATTCACTGGATGGTCACACTCGAAGAGTGTCACTGGCTCAATGTCCAAGTGGAGACTAGTGATGAGTGGCATTCCTACAGGAGTTGCTGTTGGGACTAGTGCTCTCTAGCACCTTTGCTGGTGACATGGGCAGTAGGACTGAGTGTACCCTCAGCAAGTTTGTCAGTGACACCAAGGTGAGCAGCACAGTTGAACCCTGCAGGGAAGGGATGCCAACCAACCCTTGAAAAGATTGAAAAGTGGACCTACGTGAACCTAAGGAGGTTCAACAAGTCCAAGAGCAAACTGTATCTCTTGGGTCTGGTCAATTGCAATCACAACCATGGGCTGGATGAATGGGAGTAGCCCTGAGGAGAAGGACTTGCAGATGCTGGCTGACGAAAAGCTGGACATGAGCCAGCATAGGCTTGCAACCCAGAAGGCCAAGAATGCCCTGAGCTGCATCAATAGAGAGGTACGGTGACAGGAACAAGGAGGTGACTGTCCTCCTTCGCTTTGCCCTCATGTGCCACATCACCTGCAGTACTGTGGGTCAGGGGGGCCCCCAATACAAATGGAGCTGTTAAGATGAGTCCAGAGGAGGGCCATGAACAGATCAGAGGGCTGGAGCACCAATTCTGTGAAGAAAGGCTGAGGGAACTGGGCTTGTTCAGACTGGAGAAGAGAAGGCCCTGGAGAGACCTTATTGTGGTCTTCCAGTACTGTAATGGGGCCTACAGAAAAAATGGAAAGGGACTCTTAATTGAGGAATGTGATGACAGGATAAGAGAGAAAGGTTTTAAACTGAATGAGGATAGGTCTAAGGTAGACTTTAGGGGGAAATACTTTATTCAGAGGGCGCTGGCAGAGCTGGGCACAAAAGCTGTGGTGCTCCGTCCCTGCAGGCAGTCAGGCCCAGGCTGGACGGGGCGCTGGGCAGCCTGCACCGGTGGGGGGCAGCCCTGCCCATGGCAGAGGCGGGGGAAACTGGGTGGGCTATGAAGTCCCTTCCAGTCGAAGCCTCTCTGTGACGACCCTCCAACCCAGAGCAACGACGCAGAAGAGTTAATTCCTCTTTTGAAGGTTTCAACAACCCCGGCTCGGATAAGCAGCGCCTGGGGCCCGACTGCGCAGCAGACGCACGGCCCCCGACCCGCACGTCACCATCCCACGGCCCCAACCCAGGCAGCGGTCGTTACCTCTCCGCTTCTTCGCCTGGGCCGCCTCCCCCGGGAGCGGCCCGACCCAGCGCTCCCCATCTTCCTCGTCTTCTTCCTCGTTCTCCGTGGCGCCGCTCGCCCTCCTCTTGCGCTCCGGCTCGGACGACGCCATGCTGCTACGTCACTTTCCCGCGACGCTCCCTCCCGTCGCTGTTCTCCTCCCCACCCCCACGCCGGGCGCAGCCAATGAGCGCGGAGCGCGCGCAGGAGCGGGCGGGCTGCGCTGAGGCGGCTGCGCTGAGGCGGCGGCGACGGGCGGCGGGCGGCGGCGCCGCGGTAACGGGCGGGCGGGCGGCGGTGTTGGTGGCGTTCTTGGGGACTGCGGCTCCTTGGGGCTGCGTCGGCCCCGGTCTCAGCCCTGACCAGATTCAGCCGCCGGAGGTGCGGCCGTTCATCCCGGGGGGGCACTGAAGACGGACGGGCCGGACCCTGCGACCGCCTGGCAGGGCTGAGCGCGGGCCCGCGGCGCGAGGTGCCCTCGGGGGGGAGGGCCGCTTTCTTCCTGACCTTCGGAGAATGTAATATGTCTGTGAGATGAAAGAAATCTTTGCTTTTGAATGACGAAGATAAGCGTGGCACTCTCGTTCGCGCGTGTGCTTTTAGCTAATTGCGTGCATCTACAGCGATGGAGGGAGGAACGTTAGTGGCGCGCTAACAAAAGCAGCAACCGGCTGCGAACTGTAGGGACAAATGGAAACCTCATCTTATCGTGTGAGAAAAGAGAAAACTGCCAGCTACAGCAACAGACATCTTAAAAGAAATAGTATTTTTAACATATGTGCTTTACACGATGATGATAAGGGACCACAAGGCAACCTGGTTGCTGGTATTGTGGCCTGTAGCTTCTTCTTTAAATATGTTCGTCTTGTGGTTGTGTAAAATCGACCATGAAAATGCTGGAGGCAACAATATTAAAAACGTTGTAATAATAACTTTATTTGCTAGGTATTTAGAGATCTCTGTTTCACGTCCCATCTTCACAATGGCAGATTTTGTTACTGAGCGGAGATGTGGGAAGATGGGACTTTTTTTTCCACCCAGACACCCCTTTCAGGTTTCCTTTCTGAAGGCTGCTTTATTTCCTTTTTTCTTTCCTTTTTTTTTTTTTTTCAGGGCCTCTCAACTCTGTTGCTGAGCCATTTTACAGTGATGAAAATAATCTATTGAGGCTTTCTTATTTTTGTTTGTATCTTTGCCAGTTTTTGGTCTAAGAAGAAAAAAACCAACACATCTCAGGACTGCTTAGCTTTTTTATTAGCCTTCTGTGGGGGACTTCGCTGGAGGCATTTCACAATTCTTAGTAAGTGATGTGATCTAGTTCTCTTTTATGTTATGGAGACGTTCCAGGACTCTTAAGAAGATAATGATTTTCCTTTGCAAAAACCATGCTGTTAGATTTTATCAGGTTATGGCAATCTTAGTGTTCTTAGTGTTCTGTTTTTAATTATTTATGCAACAAATTTGTCAGGAAGGCTTAGCAGAGGTATTGGTACTTCTCAGTTTGTTAGAACAGTATTCCAGGAGAAGTGCTGGTTGTTTTATTTTTTTTTTTTTAGCTGCTCTGCTGTGGCTTACTTGCCTGTTAGAAGTAGTAGTTAAATATTTCACTCATATGTTCAACATATTATTTTGTGATGCATCTTTTTTTGTTTTGAAAATGAATTCCTAAGGTTTACTTTGGAGTTTATGCATCATCAAGATGACAAGGACACTTATTTCTTCTTTAAAGACTTAACACTTCTAGTACAGTTAGGAAGTTGCAGTTCATTGTTTTAGCTTAGCAGATTCTCCCTTTGAGTTACATTTTGGCTCTCCCGGTTTTCCTCATATGTGCTGTTGACATTTATATCTCTCTCAATAGACTTAACTTTAAGATGACATTTTAAAAACATGTGTGTGCCTATTTAGCCTAACAGTTTCTCAACATTTTTAATTTGACCAGTTTGACTTGTGACTTTTTTTCTGCTGACCATCCTAGTGCCCTCTTTATTTACTTGTCTGCATATCTTTTGGCTTCTTTTGTTGTTTGTGTCCACAATTTTTGAATTCAAAGTCTTTTTGATGAACAAGTGAAAATTGTAAGGAGAAGTAGCCTAGTACGTTTATTGGAAGGCTGCAGAGAGAACTGCTGAAGAACTTTGTGGATATATGGAAGAAAACCATGGTTTTGTGGACTGGCACTTATTCTCACATTGTTTCTTTGTCAGGAAAGAAGTTGCCCAGATGAACCAAAGCATTTTTGAAAACTCTGCACTTTCTGATTCAATTGCAAATATTGTTAGTATCTTATTTCTGAATATTTCTACAGTGTTATGGTTAGCTGATGTTACCAAATGATTTGATCCTGTCTATAAGTTTAGAGTTCTTAACTGAAAACTTTTTGGATTCAAAGGGTTTGCTCCGATATGGACTTGACCTAATGCAGCAGGTATGATTCAGTAACCTGTTAGTTTTTGTTGATCTACATGGTAACTTCACAAATTTTCTTTTTAATAGGCTGAAAAACTACCAGAAATCATGAATGACTCAGTTTGTCCCGTGGATGCCACAGAAGAACTCTTGCGTGAATGTGAGAATATTTGGAAGGAGATGGAAAAGGTATGCAAATCATGAATATTAGTCTAGATTTGTTAATTTGTTGTTAACTTCAGTCAGAATTTCTTGCTTATCTCCCTTCACTGTATACTCACCACACCTCCTCCAAAGAAATGACAAGAACAACAAAATGAAGACCTTTAGAAAGGCAGGTATGTTGGCAAGGATGAAAAGTGTCCTGCAGAGCCAGTCTTTGTTTGCAGTGTGCTGATTTAGTTACATCCCGAATAAAATATAATGAGAGAATACATTAAAACTTGCAAAAAATGCAATGATAGTTATTTGTATTCTGGTAATACCAGTACACTAAAATGGAGATCCTCTTTTTTGCCTTATTCAAGACAGGTATCAGTTGCTATTCACAAGTACTTAAGGTCTTAAGGGAAAGACAGAATTGAAGAAGAGAGATTCAGAAGAATGATGCTTGTAGCATACATTCACACAAGCTGACAGTTGCAACCTCAATCACAAAATGTATCTCTTCTGTCAGGTGGTCCAGTATCCTAATAGTAAAGCTTTAGAGCAAGTTATATTTATTTATCTTCTTAATTAGGTCAAACCTAGTCAAAATAAACTCTTAACCATTGTGAGGGAATGTTATGTATTTTATAGAAGTTTGTTGAGACTTGTGAAAGCTCATGCTTTGCATAATATTTTGAGTGCTAATTGCTTACCTTCTATTTTACCTGCTAAATGCACCACTTATTTAGCTTGCTCTGTATTGTAGGCTAAATGCATTAAAAGGATCAGAACTTTACATGAAAATACTTCACATCTTAAAGCAGAATGAAGTGCTTATAAACTGTGGTTTATAATGTGTGTGGAATAGGTTTTTAAAAGATAATAGGATGTTATTATCTCTGTGTGTAAACCTAACACTGTTGCATATTACTTAGAATTTTGGACAGTGTGTATCTTACTAATGAACAAGCTGCAGAAAATCCTGTTTGTAGGCTTCTGAAATATCACAGTAAGTTACCAAGTGAACTACTGCCCAGCACGGTTTTGGAGGATGTGGATTTTCTGTGAGACTTTCAGATAAGAAATGAAGATAAAGTGTTTATTATTTCTAACATAATTGGAAAACCTTTGAAATCTTATATGCCAGGGCATTATGTTCTGGATACAGGCAAGTTTTTGCAAAGAAATCTGAAGAACTTTGTAATCATTGAATTAGCTTCTCTGTTGATATCATCTATGGTATCTTGTTATGTCTATTGTGCTGTCATTAGTAATATTTACTGCCAAAATCCTATATTGTGTTTAGTTCCAAAACAGAATAATAAGGATTCCAAGGAACTACTTTTTAATTCTGCTGCTTAGTAGTCTCTGTTCTGCCCAGTTGTGAGGTAGAATACATTGCTGACTTGTAGAAAATAAGAAAAAGTTTAGCAGGTGGCTTTTGCTATGGTCTTGGATCTCTGTGGCGGCCTGAATTTCTGTCTTGGTATTAAAGTCATTACAGTCAATGTGAACTGATGTGCTGCACGCTTAAAAAATAAGCCTGTTCCTCAACTGTGTAGTATATTGACCTACTAAATTAGTTGAAACAAAAAATGTGCTATAATGTGATTGCTTTACTAGGAAAGTTAGAGTAGTAGCACTGAGTGTGTTAACTTCACAGCAGATTCCCTATTCAGCCTTGCTGTCCATGACTGTCTCGTTTTCACAGTATTTTAATGTTCTTAATCTGTTCAGTATTTTTCTCTGTGCTGATGTTTCCCTTGTAACTTGCTATTTTTCTCAAATTACACATCTTTTGTTAGCTGCTGCTCTTTTACTTTTCGATTAATTGAATTTTTCTGCAGTATGATTTCAGAATATTTCTTTTATTTGCTGTTTTGGGTCAGATTTTGAGGGACACGGTAAGAGCCAAGTCAAGACTTTTTTTTTCCTTACAGTAAACAGTTACTGCTGCAATTTTAAAACATCATATTTCTTTCCTGCAAAAGGTAGGAACGAGTAAACATTATCTGTCTTTTGCTTTCTACCCAGTGTCAGAGTAAGCTAACCCTTCTAACAGCAGAACCGGTGCCAGAATCAGATGCCAAGGTAAGGCAATATTTTTTTTTTTTTCTCCACAAGATGTTCCCTGTATGCAGAATATTTCTTTCAGAAAGAAGAAAACTAAATTATCTTTGTTTAGTCTCTGAAGTTGTTGTCTTTACTCTTACAAACTTTGAGACTTAATTTGAAGTATGTCAATGCCCAGCAAATGCTGAACAGTTGCATTTATGCAGCTTCTTGCATAAACGCAAAAAGAGGAGAGGTCAAGTGCAGTCCTGCCGTGTAACCTGATTAAGAGCTGACACAGGCAGAATAGTGGGATGTGTAACTTCAGTAGCTGTTTGGGCTACAGTGTATTTATATCTTTTTAAAAATAAAATATTTTCATATTTTATTGATCCCTTTAGTTTTACTCTGTAAGTTTGCATTTGGAAAGTGGAGTTGTTCCCTGTTTGCAGATATCAATAGGAAACTGATATGCTTGAGTTGGAAATGACCTAAGCAATGCTAAGTGTGTGAATATATGCCCTTGGAATTTTGGGGAGCATGCAAAAAGGCAGTGTTGGCTCACTGTTTAGTTGCTTGTAGATTCTAAATAGGAATTTTTAAAATTGGATTTATATGGGGACCCTTCATTTGGAAAGTATGTTGGTTGAGTGAATGAAATACATAGATATTATAAATCTCCCTCCTACATGACTTCAAGAGGTATATTCAGGTGGCTAATTCAGTATGTGGGAATGATAGAGCACTTTTTCTTTTTGGATATTTCTTTGTCAAACACATTCAACTATTGAATTTCTAGTTAATTACTAATTTTAATTTCTTGCTACTAGTATACTGTGTTCTAAACTGGAGTAAATAAAATGCAAAGAACTCTATTATATGCACAAAGCAGTTTTTCTCTTCTTTCAGTAGTGGATAAAATCCTAGCACTAGAAATCACTTGTCTGGGCTCAATTGGGTGTAGGCTGAGGTTTTTATATTTTTCTGTAGCGTTATTGGAGTCCATCATGGCCTTGTAAT